TGGTCACTTGTGCTCCAAAGTAAAGTCTCTGGCTCTGTCCATGCAGGAGCTGAAACACTGAGCTAGGTATGTCCTTTACTCATTTTATGCTGCCTACATAACAAATGCAACAAGAGTTTTTCAAGTGGAAGGTCATTTTCCAAAGTTTAACTTGTGGCATTCCTCGCTTTAAGTTGGAATTAGATTTCAGAAACTTTTCAGATATAATAATCCACTTGTATTTGAGAAGCCTGATGTCATGCAGCCCTGTTTATACCTTACTGGTTGCAAAAATAAAATTACCATTGAATTAATTAGCAATAAAATCTAACATTGGGAACACCTGAAAGTTCAAACCAAAGAAATCTCTCTCAAAAAATCCCCAATTCTTGATCAAATCAGTTCAGCACCAAGAATGAGACCACTAAAACCAGTAGCAAGATTTTAATCTCAGTGGATTCAGGATTTCATTCCAGAAAAAATATTTCCTTGTAGCAGAAATAAGATCTAAAAGAAAATTAATAATGGATACCATCACTCCATTACGGACCAACTATGCAATATTAGGAAAAGTTTTAATGTTCATAAATATTATTCCTACCACTCAAAAGCACCTCCCCCCCCTTTTTTTAGTAAAATGAACAGTTTCCTCTCACATAGAAACTAGTTTCTATTTCCTTTAAGTGCCTCTTACTTGAGAGATGGATTATCAGTAGTTAACCTCTTTAGGTCATGCAAAAGACAGACGCATTTCAAAGAAATCACTTGTTTTCATAGTTAAGCTCAGCTACATGACCGGCAAGTGGATATTCTGCAATGGGGCAGCATTGCTTGACACAAGCTTAGCTTTCCAGCCCATCACAGATTTGGCCAGCTAACTCCAGAGAAGTGTATGATAAACAGCACAATAAAGCTAAAAATTTGCTAAACATGGAAGCTAATGCCTTGCCTAAGTCAAAACACAACATTCAGAAACAAAACGGGGCTGAAATGGAGAATGAATTAGGATAAGACCAACTAAGAGTGACCAAAAAGAAACCTAAAAGCAGAAGTCATAAGGAGAACCTTGAAATAGTTTACACCAGCAAGTGGGACATTGAGACTTCATGGGACTTTTTCTCCTCTTCGCTTTAACTAAACTTGTCCAGTGTTGTCATCTTGGAAATTCTCTCACATTTCTCTAGCACTCTACCAAGTGGTCACTGGAAAGAATGGGAAACAATTGATGGAAACAGGTTGAATACTGGCAAGTATTTGCAAGTTTCTTCTGTGCACATTGTCAGATGAACTGCTCATCAAAAAACTACAAGAGATCTGGAAAATAGTAAAAAACAGCTGATGATAATCATCTGTGCTACTCCTACTGCAAGAAAACTGTTTCTCTGTCCTTTTACTGGACAGAGTCAAATGAGGCAATGCTAGCCTTAGCACAAAGAGGGTTCTGTATGAAATGGTGAGGTTATTCCAATAAACCCTAAAACTGTAAAGCTTGCAATATACTATTTACAGTTTCCTGTAATGATAATAATAGAAGAAAAGGGGACTAATTGTTAAACATGAAAGTATTTCAAGCAGCAATTATCTATCATGTCCTGCATGAACTAGAGCAAAGTATTGTATAGGTAGATTAAGATTGTGGGAGATGAAACAGATTGGTCTGTTACCCATCATCTCCCATCGAAACTGAAAAAATCCTCAGCAAATTAGGAGGACAAAAGTTAGGTGAGAAACTTTCCACTGGGTCAGGACACAACTGTTCTTCATGGTATTATGTTAAATCCCACCAGAGCCTCAACTACACTTCTGTCTACAGGAAACAAGGACAGTGAACCTGAATGTGGATGAACACATAAGAATTTGAAGTATTATATTTTTAAAGTTATGTTAAGAATAAGTAGCACTTTTAACACCACAAATATCAAATCAGGGTATTCAGAACAATAGAATATCATGCAGGCTGGAGGGGACCAACATCTAGTCCAACTGTGGAGCCTAGTCCAACTCCTGTTCAAAGCAGGATTCTCTACAATAACCAAATTCATAGTTAGCAAAAGATTTTTGATTTAGAAAATGTCATGCAGGTGTTTTCCTGGTTTCTTGTAGTCTACAGAAACAGAATGTAACTCAAGTAACAAAAATATTCTTGTCAGTCCTATTAATCTTATAGTTTCTCTTTTTCCTCTCACTAATTGTACACATACCTAAGCCTTGTAGACATTTTTTTCCCATTCTTGGAATCAAGTAACGCACATTGGGCTCAGCAAATAAAATCTTAACGATAAGGAGGCCTACATTAAAAAAGTGAATCAGAATCAGTGAAATACTCTGTCAAAAGAAAAAAGAATGCCTTGAAGATCAGAGTTACTCAGAGGAAGAAAGTAATTGTCCACAGTGGAAAAAAAATGAAATGTGAATAATAATCGAACTCCTATGTTGAGATACCTGCTACTGAATGCAGTAGGCGTTGGTTTTGCAGAGCTTGAGCAAGACTTACATGAGAATGTGAGGGTATTGTTGCTTTACATTGTCTTTACATCTCCTATGACCATAAGCTAAGGTGCCACGCTTTTTTAGTTACACATTGTTCATCCCTTCTCCAAATCAGATACTTGTAACTCTCAGTCTAATTTCTACTTTTGCCAATCTTACATGAATCTTTACAGAAGTAGCGAATGCAGAACCCCCAAAATTTCCTGCATTTATTTTTGTTGGTGCCTGTTACCATCAAATTATGCTTGAGTGCATTTGGTGCAATGTTATCAAGAAAAGTACTATCTGCTATTGATGTCCTAACAAGAATGTCAAAAGTAGAATAGGCTGTAGAGAGATGAAGCTGGAAAAGACTTCACACTCATAGAAGTTTGTCATGTATAAGCCAAAGTAATTCATGCAATGTGCCAGAAACAAGCTTGTGGCCTCTGCAAGAGGCCTCATTTCAGAATCCTTTAAGATAGCAAGGCCAAAGCTCAAGTGAAGTAAATCTATTTCACCCTACAAATGACACTTATACTAACATAACTTATCTCCTCTACCAAATAAAGTACCTAGAAAACAATTCAAATATTGTGTGACAGCAGCATCACCTGGATGTAAGTGACAAGAATACTATTCATTTACTCAGGAGACTATTTAGTGCAAGGAGGTGAAGTACAAAGTCCAAGCAGCAGCACATGATAATCCCTTTCTAGAGGAAGGTCTGAAGCAACACCTGTAATTTGCACAGATAGATTTAACAAATTCCAAAGGTAAAGATAGTAACCTCATTTTAAATGGAGAACACACATTCCTTGTCTGGTAAATTAATTGTCAACAGTCCTTCATTGACAGTAGGCACAGACAAGCAAATAATTGTATTCTTCACGGGACCAACTCTATCTAGTCTCTTAGACTCACAGAACACAACTGATGTGTTACACCTGCTTGTAATTATAAGCTGAAGACATTGCCCCTCTTTTAGCCTGAGGCTACAGAGAGATGTTGTAGGGAATAGGGATACCCCCTTGATGTAACTTGTCTGTTGCCTTTTACTCTTCTATTGCACCCTTCTGAGAAGGGTTTGTATGCAGCATCTCTACAACCCTCTCAGTAATTCACTGAAGACAGCTACTAACTGAAGAAACACAATGAGACACTGAGGGGGCTGAATGTCAAGAAACAGCATGTGAGGTATGAAAACAAACATGGTACTGATAATACCTCTTCCTTCCTTTTTAGCCTTGTTCAGGGGGGTTGAGAGCAGTTAGTAAATATCTCTGCCTTACAAAGGTCAGTGTTTACCTGATAGCATGGAGATAAGTGTTTCCTGCAGTACAGCCTATGCAGACACATTTATGTCATTCAGAAGATCAGTAGCCTCCTGTGGTTAAAACCACTCTGATGCAGACCGTCTGTCCCTGCATGCACATCTGTCTGCAGACAGCTTTCAGTCCCCCTCAATCTGTCCCTGCAGACACATCTGTCTGCAGGCAGCTTTCAGTCCCCTTGAGTCCTTTGTATCACAGTTCTCTATGAACCTGCAGATATGTGAGCAAGTTCTCAGCTACCACGATTATATGCAGCCCTGTACAAATCATCATGAGCTCTAAGTTATCAAAGTTGTATGCATTACTTAATAAAAGAAAATCTTTGAAACTTCCTAGAAAAAAATACCCAATGAACAAGCAGAAATTGGGATGCCCAGGGACCAGATTAAGCACTTAAACCACTAAAACATCAACCCAGGCAGATGTTAAATAGATGATAAATAGAGGGTAACAATTAATTCTTCACCCTGCTTTGTACCCATGGTTCCTTCTTTGCAGTGAAACTCAAGTATGTATAAAGAGCATACACCTCCCTCAAACGCTTTGTAATGTTCACATTGTCTTTCTAAACAACAGCTCTTTAATGAATCTTTTTACATGCCAAATCACTTAAAATTATGGAGGTATTCCTGAAATATGGCAGTGTGCTTCCAAATAATCTGACTTGGAAAAAATTAAACCAAATTAAATAAATTCTTGCAGCTTTGAAACCCTTTCTTATGAAAATAACTTTTAAGTATTTTGACAGTACATGTATCTAAACAAATCAGTTGCCTTTATATACCTTAGTATTCTAGTTTGAAGAGAAACTGGTGACTTGCAAATAGCTTTTTGCATATGGAACTACTGACATATCCTGAAGTACCTATTTTACAATATTCCATCAATTGTAAAGTATGAAGTTTCAAAACACCGGCATGTAGCAGGTGATTTTTGTCAAGATAAAACTGCAGCATTTGCAGCTCATTTGATAAAACCAAGAAGTACTTCTCATTTGAAAGTACCAATCAGAAAGGGGCAAGAATTCAAAGTTCTAGAGGGGATATGTTTTTTTTTTAACACAGACATACACAGACACACAAAACAAACCCAAAGTAATTCAGTCTCATCCGGTTCGATCTCAACCACGAGACACCGCTGTCTGTTTTCTTTCTCAAAAGACTCACGTCACTGTGCACTGAAAAAAGGGAACTTCCACAGTCTGTGGTGAGGATACATGATAAACAGATCTGTTCACACCAACTAGCGGGGCTGCCTGCGTCAATAAAAGGCGGTAGCAGAGTCAGTGAACTGGCATTTGGGGCTTGGAGGATTATCACTGCAAAGTCACTTCACATTAAAGTTAAGTAAAATGCCAGGATTTTTTTTTTCCCACAACAATATGACAGAATTAAACAGAAAAGACGACTGCAAGCTTGCAGAAGACAAAATCCATAAGAAGAAGCAAAAGGCTTTGTAAGTATAAACTTTAATGTATTAGAAGTGAAAATAATACTAGGATCTTGGAGATTAAGAATTAGCACTGTGGTTTGGGCTAAATGACTGCAAAGCTGCTCAAAGCCCAGGATATTAAAAATGGCTTGAGTTGATGCATACCAACAAATTGATTCCCTTAAGTAATCAGGAGCACATTTCGAATACACTGGGAGCCTCTTAATCTTTTGAAAAAAGTTGCCTGGATATGTAACTTCATAGACTTCAGTCATAGGATAGAGCTGTCAGCCTCCATTTAAAAGTATAAAGAGATTAAGGTGAAATTGAAATGCAACTGCAATTTTAATGATTACAAAAATCTTTGTTCATTGTTTCAGTGGCACGGATCTCAAGAATTATTTGAAGTGCATGGTACCACATATTGAATCTGGGATCAAGACGTCTAACTCCAGAAATGTCATGTAAGTACTGAGATACCCTAAGTTATAACAAAATCTAACTATAGCTAGATTACTATGTAGTAAACTATTTTAAAAATTTCTAAATTAGTTCTAGAACAGATATTATTGTATTGCCTAGAATCTCCAAATTACAAAAGAAGTGAACGTTAGGAAGTAGAAACTATTCATGGAGTGAAGAGTTTTTTCTTAGCGATGTGTATATGTTTGCATCAAACAGTGAAGAAGACACCTCAGTTAAATCTGTTTTCTTCAGACATTATATCCATTCTCTAAAGATTTACAAAAAATGAAGCTTCACACTTCAGTGAAGAGCAGGGCTACTATCATTCTTATTTCAAGAATATGGAAACAGAAGAACAGATACAAAACTATTTGGTGATAGTGACAGTAAAAGCTCATCTGTCTTGAAGCAGAATTCAGGATAACATAGTTCCTTGTTTTTACATCTGACTATTTTTCCTCAATGTGGGCTTGCCTCCAGGGTCTCTGAATATGACAAAGCCATACATTTAATGATTAACTGGTACATATTCCTAGAATAGAATAATAAATTATAAAATTTGTCTCCTTTAAACATGCAAACAAAACCACATGGTTTCTTGCCTAAAGCCTTTTCTTTCTCTTGTTATCTCAGGCTTTCTGCAGAGGAAGTAATACAGTGGTCACAGTCTTTGGAAAAGCTCTTGGCCAGCCAAAGTAAGTCTCTTACTTCAGTATGACTTTGCTCTTATTCCGAGGACAAAATTTTATCTAATCTCACCAAATACGCAAAGCTGTAGCATTCTGCAAACACTGCCAGAGACTGGCCTGCAAGTTGCCTTTCAGTTATTTACAGCTTCAGTGTAACATGGCTACTATATTCAGCTCTGCTGCTGAGTTTGGCTTTTTCCTTTACAGTTCCTATTCCCAATATAGCAAAAACACTCCAAATAGCTCAATTCAATTTTTGATCAGTCTTCTGTCTTTGCATAACACATCAGTTTAATTTGGAGTTTTCTCTCCACTTCTACTGTAAGACAATGCATTTAGGGAGGACTAGAAACCATTGATGTATTTTGGTACCCTTGGTCTAGATCTGAGATTACTGAACATAATTAGGAAGACTCCCATCACCCTTAATATTAGAGTATCTATAGTATATTGAAAAAGGGAAGAAGAATGTATTTTGTCAAGATTTTATAACAAAATTCCAATACAACTCTTGCTATTTATTTTATCCTCCTTGATCACAAATATCATGCTATAAATGATGATGTATTTGTGTTGCCTTTAGGTGGTCAAGGTATTTTTCGGGAGTTCCTGAAGTCAGAATTCAGTGAGGAGAACATCGAGTTCTGGTTGGCTTGTGAGGATTACAAGAAAACCAAATCTGATCACTTACATGGCAAAGCAGAGAGGATTTATGAGGAGTTTGTTCAGTCAGATGCTATTAAACAGGTATGTACAAAGTTAATCTGTGTTTTGTTACAGTACAAGGGAAAAATCAGAGGATAGAGGCGTAGCTTCACTGAGATGCTCATACATTTATTCAGTAACATAGGGAGAAGATACAGACGTGGTTTTATAAGCATATTTGCATCATTTCTGCCTTCAGTTGTGAGATTATCGTATCTCACAAGTCAAGTCACATGATGCAGGCTAGTACTTGGGAGCACCCCTAGCAGAAGCTCAGCAGAGGCGCCAGCCACTCAGCACATGACATTATTCTCTGAATTAGCCCAGTTTGAATGACTGCTGGTGCTTGGAGTCAGATATTTAGAGAGTGCGTTGCTAGTAGGAGAGCTGTGGAATTTTTCTTGTCTTTTTAAACAAATTCTGGAGAATTAAAAGTTGTGTATGCAGATCATATTTCAAACTGGAGACTCTCATTCTGCACAGAATTTCTCCTATTGTTTTAATTGGAGGGTTGTTCCTCTACTTATTCCATTGTTGAGTTTTATTACTTCTAACTCCATAAGAAACTGCATTTCTGTAATGAATAGCAATTTTTGTGCATAACTGGGATATAAGCATTAAAATTCCCTCATTTTGCAGTTCTGATAATTATCACACTGAGTGCTAAGACTGCAAATTTATTGACTGATAGATGTAGAAAGAGAACACATGTTTAAGATATCAGTGACATTTGTTTTTCACCTTCCAGATCAATATTGACTATCAGATGAGAGAAGCAACAGCCAAAAGGGCTCAAGACCCAACTCACACAAGTTTTGATGAAGCCCAGAAAACAGTGTACATCCTCATGGAAAGGGATTCATATCCCAGATTTTTGAAATCCAAAGCCTACCTGAATCTTTTGAACCAGCTGGAAACAAACACTTCAAAGTGAAGTGTCTGAGGCAGTGAAGAGCCAAGTAGACTCTGTGTCAAATATCCTGTGGAAAGATCCTTCAGGGTGGTTGGATCTCAGCACGGAGACCCCCACCTTGGGAGGAGGGGTATAAGGGAGATGCAAACAGCTCCATAGCCAAGAGAACACAGGATAAAAGCTGGCAAGACTGTTACAAGGGTGAGAGCAGCACAGGGAGAAAATCCTCTCCTCTCACATGCCATGGAGTCGAGACAGAATATGGATACTATTTACTGTTTGAACTACACTGTGACCATTGAACCAAGTCTTAGATGCCAAGGAACTGCTGATTATTAGGTAGTGCAAGACTAGCAAGCTGAGTGTTGGGAAAGGATTATCAAGTCCAGAAGAAAAACAAGGATGACTGACAATTTTGTGCATAACAAGAAAATGCCCAGACAAGACTGATTAATGGCGCTTTTTTAAATCTGTGAAGTGTTAACAAGTGTGAGTGCAGCTCCATGATGCTATTGTGCTATGTAAATATATCATAAATTGACATGTCCTAAAATTGATGTATTTTAAGTTATAAAAGAATTCTATAAGCTGTACTTCTACTAAGGTTGTATTCAGCAGGCAGGTATGTAGCATCTTTTCTGTTTAATTTATTGCAAAAATAATAAGCAACTCTTCTATTAATTCTACTTAAAAATAAAGTTTTCTTGTCATTTTATATCTTAAGTGATCTTTCCATTGCAATTACTGTAGTATTAAAACACATGGGTCCCTTCTTTCCCATTATGCCACTACTTCTCATCTCCTTATCCAAATATTAATTTTCCCCACACAACCTTTTCTTTTTTTCTTTCTTCTTTTTTTTTCCTACCCAGAATCTTAGTCATCTGGAGTAAGTGATCCTGACCCATCCTCACGATCCTGAAAAGGAAAACAAAACAAAGATAAGCAGGTCTAAATCTCTGTTCTATTTTTCATACTCCACCAGCTACCAGCACCCGAGTCAAATCTCAACTATAGAAGACTTTTAATCACTGACCCCACAGTTCAGTACACTTTGATACTGACGATGTGCTGAGCACAGCAGATCACCCATGCTTGCTTACGTAGAGAGGCAGTAACTGGCAAGACTCACTAGCAGTCACATTCCTTGTGATCTTAGTACTACTGAACCTAATCTTGGCAACATCAAGACTCTAATGTACAATACCAATACTAGAAAAGATCATTTCATTTCACCGCAAATGTTGTATTAAATTTACTCTAAAATACGCAATGAGGAGCCTATACCACAGTGGGTAGTGATAAGAACTAAAAGCAAAAGAAGAAAAGTTGCAATTATGCCTGAACTACATTACTATGTACACAGGCACTAGCAAATCTGAAACATTTAAGACCTTGTGACACTGGAGTTCATAACTAAAATAAATCAAAGCCTGCCCTGGTCTTAATGAGTTACCATCATGAGATGCAGCTATCACATGGGTGGCAATACAAGATTTTATCTCACCCTTGCAGATTTTCCATTTTTCAAAATAACATGAACTTAGTCAGGCACACTCCATCATTCCGTATAAAATGGAGAAGCTGTAAACCCACAGACGTCATCAACTTGGGGACAGCAGGCCGTGTTCATACTGCCACCCTTTGGGGACCTCGGGAACTCCAGGGGAGGACAAAATCTTCCGCGTTTAAGCAGAACTCGGCCACTGAGCTAGGTTCCTTTCAGCAGTTGCTGCCAACTTTCACCATCACCCACTGTTGTAGCTGGAAGCCACTGCAAATCACGTCTTCCTACTTTCAAGGCCAGTAAATGTAGAACAAAAGAACATGGTCTTGCAGTGTTATTTTCCTTTTGTTAAATATGTGTACCCAAAGGAGGCTCTGATTACAAAACTCGAATGCTCCTGAAACAATATCAGTCTCCAGTTGGTGCTCTCATGTGAATTAATTTTCCAGGATCAGTAGGAATAAATCTAATTCCTGTGAAGTGGGAATAACAACTATGCCTATCACACTATGCCCACCAACCTCATCTTTGTTCTGACAGAGTTAGCATGGACCAAATATCACTGTTTGCAGAGCTTCAACCTCACAGAAGACAAAAGATAACTACGAAATACCAGGTATTCTCTATACAGACATAACTAACATTATCATTTTGACTGTAAACCCCTTAAATTAGTATGAGCTCAGTCTTCATTTACTCCTCCTGCAGTTTCACAATTTTGTCATGATTTAGCCAAACACCTGCATGAAATTTCTGACTAAAAATCTTCTCTCATAGTATGGCAAGCTAGGATTATTTTTTTATTATTATTTTATTTCTTATAATGGCTTGATGCTGCTAGAGAAGACTGTTTGTCAGAAGCAATTTTATCTACTATTGGGGAGACTGCTGGGTGGGGTAATGGGTGGATTTGTGTTGTGGATAGGTCTCAGAGATGGCTATAATGGAAAGAAGAGAAAGGTAGACTCTGGAGTCATGCCATGGTTGGCCAAGGGATGGCCAGCATTGCCTTCTGTGCCCACTGCCCTATGACTTTGCATCAGGCAGAGCAAGTCTTTTCACTAAAGACTGGGTGCAGCCACTACAGCTGCTCAGGTAATCACAGATGCTGCCTGGCACCCTGACCTGCAGAGAGCCACTGGGCCTGCCCTAACAGGAAACGGTGAGAAAGTGACACTATAACACACTGGTCAGAGCCATCTAAAAATAAGACAAACCTATCCATGTAAGAAACTAACACAGCTCTCTGAGCACATCAGCCGCTTTTATTACACTGAATTAGTATAGACCAGAATATTTTAGGAGGAAAGATGAAGGGACTTTTCACTTTTTCCACAGGCATCTCCCCCTGGTTCATTATATGGTACCATGTGAGAATGGAAAGTTGATGGTGGTGGGGGCTTTCTGTTTGTTGGGTTTTTTGGTTTTCTTTGTTCCTCCCCCAAAGAGAAACTCTTCTGCTCCTTACAGCCTAATGTTGGTACATTTCTAAGACTTTCACCTTATTTGAAGTAGGAACCTGAAAAAAAACTACAAAGGCCAATCACCCAGGTTGTTAATTTCAGAGATATTCCAGCCCACTCCAGTGTCCCTGGCAACATGACCATGTTTCAGAAAGCAATAAACACCGTAGCAGAAATTCAGAGCTGTCTCTGCGATGCTGTCGTAAGCTTAGTATTCTATATCTGTTGCTGTAGCAGGGCTATACAAAGCTAGTTGTTTAAACAAAGTCCAAGAGATCTGGAAGTATTTTAAGGCAATTTATACTGCCATCCACACTAATCTATGTTATAAAATTAAGAAGCTATAAGTAATAGTTCAATGGTACAACTGAAACAGTTTTTACCGTATTTTAAGACACTTAATATTGACATGCTTTAAAATAGTCAAGCAATAGATATTTTTATTATTTCTTCAAAGTCTTTTGTTCAAAATGCAGTATACAATGCTTATTTTGCAGTGAATTCTTTCTTTTTTTATAAAATTGTCTAAATAGAGGCTCTTTGGACTCAGAAAAACAGCAGAACATGCGGATCAAAGGGATTAAGGACTCAATATTTTCTATGACCCTTGGTTCATTTACAAGGTACATGCAAGTTCATCAAGCATCAAGTTCATTTGTGATTTCCTACTCACCTCCTCCTCCCCTGACCCAGGCACACAAATAGCCTCAGTACTGCAGATTGGTTTCACAGCTGTGGGTTGTGCCCTGCCCAGCATGGCAGACTCTTCCAAAACAGGACATGTTACACATCGAGTACGGAAAGCGTGCCTTCCTGGAAACTTCTCATACTCAAAGGAGAAACTTGTGAATGCAAGCTCCATTTACTATCTTGTAAATAAATTAATGTGAAATTGGGGGAAACTGTCCTATTTTAACATATGCTGGATTGAGTTAATTATCAGGTAACAGCTAAAACTTTCCAGAACATTCAAGTTCTGACTGTCATCCAATACTTAAGATATTTAATATGTATGTCAAACAGCTTATTTGATTTTTTTTTTTTTAGACTATATTCAGCTTTCCCTTTTTGGTAAAAACATACCATAAGAGAATGGAAATTTGCTGTTCCATTCACCGTCTCTAAGAAAAAAGGTTGAATGACAGTGGTCATCAGCTACAGATCAGTACAGGAAAACAGGATGCAGTACATGGAGAAGCTTTAAGATTTGACAGTAGTGACTCAGACTTAAAGTGGTCTACCCTACCCTGGAACACTTTCACTGATTGTCACTTTTTCAGTATAAAAATCAATCCTTGTGCCAACTTTGGATATAATTTTGAAGTTAATTAACTTCTCTACTGCCGAGAGATTTTCTTTTAAGGAGGACTCAAGAGTCCAGCAGACCCAGAATGTGAATATAAAAGACTAACCTCTCCAATCTGGAAAACCTTATCTAAATGTATTCCCTGAAGTAGATATTTTTACTATTATCACAAATAGAATAAAAATATGGTATAAAACCGTATCATTCTCTCCCATATATTGAAAAGGCCATCCATGAAAGCATGTTAGTAGAGACATCCTATCATTATGCACAGTGAAGTAGGAAGGAAATGAAAGCTGAAATGGTGGTGAATAGTACAAATTCATCACCTTGGACCCCTAAGTGCCACCCATCCCTGCCCACACTCTGAAGTAACAGGCTTACCGGATGTCGTCTCCTTCATGGTTGTGAAATGAGTTTGAAAAGCAAAAATAGATTACAATAGGCAGAAAAATCAGATGTCCTCATCTTCCATTCAGAGACATGGGTTGATTGTATCAGAACGCGTAATGTCTATAAATGAAGCTTTTTAAAAAGTAACTCTTTAGTCATGAAACATGGACAGAAATTGCAAAACAAGTTCTTATATTATTCATTGGATGATTTAAATTTGTCTTTGATGCTCAGAAACAGTGTCAGAGAGGAGTTAAGTTTATCCCCTGGCTTTGTTTGGATAAATACAGCCTCAAGGGTTTTAGTCACAAAAAGGAGACTTACATCAACCAAAAACTGATGTGCTTATCCTGGAAATAAACTCATTACCCCTCATTTCTCAAAGCAGCCCCAGAAAGTAGTCTTCTGAAAGACCCCAAAGATGATCAACATTTAAATTCTACTGAGCACTTCCCTTCAATTTCTTCAAAGAGCCTAAGCACCACACAACCTTAAATCACTTATCTAAACTAGTTTGGTGACCAGCTTTTGTGTGGTTCTCTTTGTTAATACAATTACAAATACGCTGAGTAGGAAAATGAAATGCAGAAATGTAAAACCTTTCAGGATCAC